GCTGGGTGGTTTTATTAGGTAGCCTGGGCCCTGTGTACAGAGTGGCCAGGGTGGTGGTTTTCTGCAAGTAGGTCAAATAGGTCACCTGTCAATAAAATACAAAACAAGGATTACTGCATAATCCTGTTAGAAGGACTCTGGCTGTAGGGAGCCGGGGTGGAGGTGGGAGAGGCAGGGGGAGAGGGGAGTGGGGAAGAAGAATATTGTGCTTGCCATTTGTGACACAAAAGCCTCATGAGAACATATATATCTATTTCTACACACACACACACACATATATATATAATGGCCTGGAGACTGCTTCATGGATCCCCAAGCCAATGAGCATCAGGCAAGTGTGAAAATAATGATCCTAAGATTTAAAGCAAAATAATGAATGATTGCTTAGTAACACGGCCGGTTCCTGCCTTTATGACCCTAGTCTATGATGAGGGAGAGTGTGTGATGAGGGGGAGCGGGAGAACTATATTCTGTTATGAAATGAAATACTAGGTGGATGAGAGGATAGAGTGTGTGTGTGACGCGTGCGTGTGCGCGTGTGTGAGTGAGCGAACACACCATGGATCCCTCTTATTCCAAACAGATGTTTCCCTACAACTAAAATGGCAATGGGCACATTGCAATGCACTGGGCCCATTTGGGATTTTTATCCTATTTCACTCGGAGGACCTTGTCTGTACACCAAACCTGGATCTATATAATTTTCCTTATACCGGTAGCAACTGCTGTGTGTCCATGCACACACGTCCTCCTGGGGGAGTTTTCTGGACTTCCATCGACACAAATGAATCCGGCTTGCAACCAAAGCAACCCTGTACTAGTGGGGGTTAAACTGGTTTAGTAGCAGCTGGAATGCATCCCGTTTCCGATTTAACTAAACCTGGGCAAGTAGGTGCCTGTGGAATTGACCTGTCTGGTCATCTTTCTATACTCCGCTGCTCCAGGAGCATCTGGTCCAGATCAGATGTCAATCACCTGTTTTAATTGCTCTGGCAAATGCATGGATCCCATTAAGCTAGGCATAGGCCCAGCTGTGGTCCAGGTTCCTGAGGGCCTCCTGAAGCAAAACACTTGAGTCTCAGCAGTGAGGGTAGTGAACTACAGGGCCTGGGCATCCACTCTGCACTGACTAAACTCTTAAAAGTCCTGTCCTCCATGAACTTGCAGTAAAACCTGGGATGGATTCTCTCATGGTGATTCCAAAGTCCTGAAGAGGGATCATGATGGGATGTTGCCAGGGATGTTGGCTCAAAACCCTGGATCCAAACATCCCGGAAATATGGGATTGTCTGAACTCTGAATCCAGGCGCCAATCCCCTTTTTGCAGTTGCCTCCCTATCTTTATAATGATTTGAACTGAAAACCCGGAGCTGAACTCCCATGAATGTTGAGTTGACAGGTTTCAGAGTAGCAGCCGTGTTAGTCTGTATTCGCAAAAAGAAAAAGAGGACTTGTGGCACCTTAGAGACTAACAAATGTATTTGAGCATAAGCTTTTGTGAGCTACAGCTCACTTTTCGAAATCTGGATCCAGCCTTGGACTATGGACTATAGCAGCATTTATAGTGATGCAGGCAAAGGGACTGATCCTGCAAGGTGCTGAGTACCTCCTGAGTGAGGCTGAGCACTCTCAAATCTCACTGCAGTCAATAGGTGAATAACAGATTTTAAGACTGGAAGGCCCATTACGATCATCTAGTCTGACCTCTTCTAGCTCAATACCTCCAGGATCAGGTCCTAAAATAGGGGTGGGAAAGTCTTGTGCTTAAGGATATAATAATCTGATTGGCAGATGTGCTTTTTGGGGTGGGGGAGAATGGTGGAGTGCTGGTTTCGTCTGAAACATGAGATACTGCCCAGGGCTGGAGGCAGATCACTGGGCATAATGAGTGCACGAACTGATCTGGTATGAGGTCCTATTTTCCCACACTGAAAGTGACACTGGCAATGTGCTTTTCAAACGTGCTTCCACTCACAGGGGTGACTTTGGATAAACAATTCTACTGGCCCAGTGGAATATGTTTACACCCCACTGGTGTGGTCTGTGCCAGAGGTCTCTCATCTGATCTCTTTTTGTGTTAAGAGGAACACCTGCTGCCTGGGACATTTGACACTGGCCCTACTTGTACTAGGGGTTTCTGTACATGTCCCTCACAACCTGTGTTTTGCTATCTATGTTTTCCATGAAAGTGGTTTCTTAAAAGAAAGTTCAAGGGACTTGTCTGTTTTCCTGGGCCAATTCAAACTAAAAATAAGATGAGCAAGAATTACACCAACTTCATCAGACCATAGGAAACGGAGTAAATTAGAGCTGGCTGTTAATCCAGGCTTATTATGAAAGGGATGCTGTTAACTAGAAGTTTAAAACTCCAAGTGCAGATGTAATAAAATCTTTCTAGGGGTTTTCATATGGATAGAATGATTTTTTTTATATTAAAAGCAAAATTAAATAAATGGGGTGTTTTATTTATTTGTTAATTTAAGCAGATCCCTATAGGGTTATGAACTTAAACAATAGCATCTTTGTGCTAATATATAAGAACCAGAAAGAAAAACTGAATAGAAACCAATGGGAAACTAAAGTGAAAGTAAAGGAGTACTTGTGGCACCTTAGAGACTAACCAATTTATTTGAGCATAAGCTCATAAGTGAAAGTGATCACATTCTGGTTTCAAAGTCCACTTTGAGTGAAGTGCAAAAGTAAACAAATAGCTTACACAGTGAAAAGGAAAGTAAAGTCAAAACAAAACAAACCAAGGACAAAACTACCTGTGCAGGTTTAATAATCTGAAGTGCTATTAGTAACACAGGCAAGCAATTATTTCAAAAATAGGAGTTTTAACTTTTATGTGTGACCTTACCCATATCATTTCCCCTCTCTGTGCTGCTGTTTTTCTTCCTTGTCTATTTCTATTGCAAACACATTGGGGGCAGGAACTGTCTTTTTCTACCAGTTTGTACCATGCCTAGCACAATGGGGCCTTGATGTAATACAAATAACAATACTTAATATTGTTATCGGTGTACTGTTAAATTAATAAGATGAAAGAAAGAAACTTGGAGCTTGTTTTCTCAGGATGGGGAAGAAATTTTCTCCTAGGTCAGATTGGCAAAGACCCTAGGGTGGATATTTTTTTATTTTTATTTTTTTTGCTTCTTCTACAGCATGGAGCACAGGTCACTTGCAGATTTGAACTAGTGTAAATGCTGGATCCTCTGCAACTTGCAGTCTTTAGCTTAGGGATAGCTCATTGGTTTGAGCATTAGCCTGCTAAACCCAGGGTTGTGAGTTTAATCCTTGAGGGGGCCATTTAGGGATCTGGGGCAAAAATTGGGGATTGGTCCTGCTTTGAGCAGAGGATTGGACTAGATGACCTCCTGAGGTCCCTTCCAACCCTGATATTCTATGACTTCAGTAACTCAGCCAGAGGCTATGGGCCTATTACAGGACGGGGTGGGCAAGGTCCTGTGGCCTAATGTGCAGGTCAGACTATATGGTCCCTTCTGGCCATGAGAATAGCTCTGTGGAGTTTCTATGATAAGCCTCATCTATTGGAACATAAAACAAAAGGGAAATATGCAGTACTGAGACTATTCTCATAGATTAATTACTGTAAACAGGTCAGGGTGCGTAAATTATTGGTCAGAAAAATCAGTGTCTTTATTGAAACGCTTTTGACGGCGAAACACATTATTTCCAGTTGAACATCTTGCAGGGAAAGCCCATTAGGGATACATTTTCTGGGCATACTCTCTGAAGTTGAATGAGACTTCAGATGAGGTACTCAGACATTATAATGATAAGGGCCATATAGGTACCTACTATAGATAGATAGATAGATAGATAGATAGATAGATAGAGATAGCCAGCCCTAGGTTTATTAGAAGGGACAGGTATGCAACAAAGTTTTTGTCCCCCTGCCCCCCCAATCTTGCAATGGGACCTGCTTGTGTGGGCTCCTTGTGGGCCAGGACTAGCAGATGTAGTTGTAAACTGAGAGCCCGGGGGTGATGATTTCATGGGCCAGAGTCCTTGCTTTTGATGTGGCAGCAAACAGCCAGGCCAACTTGGGGGGCACTCTGCAAATAAATGATCCCCTTCACTGAAATGGGGGGGGGGGGGTGGAGCGGGCCCAGCTCATCCAGCAACCAGTGCCTCTATCAAGGGGCCAGAGCAGCCTTGTTCCCTGAGGGCCTTTAATGGGGTCTGGAAACCCTCAGGAGGGCTGCTGCCATGAATAGAAACCGGGGACCTGTCTCTCTATCCCGCAGCCTGCGGCACACGACGCCCCCCCCCCCCGATCTCACCAGGGTTCATCTCCCCCAGATGCTCCCCCCAAGCAGCCCCAGCCGGACCCTGACTCAAGACCCAGCCGGCGGGGCGCTGGGGGCCCCCCACGCTCAGCGCAGCAGGGAGCGGGGGGGGGGGCGTAGGGAGGAGTGGAAAGCAGCCCCCCACCCCTCCCCAGCCCCCATCGGCCGTCAGAAACCTCCCTTCGCCTTCCCCTTTAATTCCGGCGCGGCGCAGCGCGAGGAGCCAGACGGCATCGCTGCTGCAGATCCCCCCCAGCTCGCTCCGCAGCCGCGGGAGGCGGCGTCCGCCCGGCGCCGGGGTCCCCATGCAGCGGCCCGGGGCCGGCGCCTGCGGGGTCCCCGGGCCCCGGCCGGGCTTGGGGGCGCGCGGGGCCGGAGCGAGCTGGGCTTGATCCCGCGCAGCCCAGCTCCCGGGCCGGGGGATGCGCCAGCCGCGGGGGGAGCGGCCGCCCTCGCCCACCGCTGCCCGCGCCCGATGCAGCCGCCGAGCCGCCGGGCTCGCTAGCCCGCCCGCCCCCGGGGGGGGCCGGAGAGCCGCGGACCCCGCCTCGCCCGAGGCTTGGCGGCGGGGGCTGAGCGGCGCGCGCCCGGGGAGGGGCCGGGGGGGGGCTTCCTCCCCTTGCACCCCCCCCCCCCACGGGCTGCAGCTGGACCCCCCCCCGCCCCCCAGCCCGGCGCTGAAGAGCAGGGCGGGGAGCGCGCCGTGATTTTCCCTGCGGATCGGCCAGCCCCGGCTGGGGCGGCGGGGGAGCCCGCAGCATGAGGAGGCTCCGGAGGCTGGTGCATCTGGTGCTTTTCTGCCCGCTTTCCACGGGCTTGCAGGTGAGGATGGAGGCGGGGGAGGCTGGCGACGCAGCTGCCCTGGCGGGGGGGGGACGGGACATCCTGCGTCTTCGGAGGCTGGAGGTCGGGGGAGTGTGTGTGTGTGTGTGGGGGGGGGGGCTGCCTTTGATCCCAAGTTAGACATACATAAATACCTACAAAGTTAAGCCCATGTCCGGTCCTTCAGATTGATCCTGAACAACCTAGTGCCATTTGGAGAAGGGAATTTTTATTTTTTATGTTTAAAAAAAGGGCAGGGGTGGATTTAACCCCCCCCCCCCCCATCACTCCCAAGGGGATTTGCCTGAGGGGGAAACTTACAAATGGTTAATTTCACTGCACCTTTGCTTTTCCCTTGTACTGGACCTTGTAGGTCAGGGTGCTGGACACACAGGGAGAGATGAAAATTGTGGCTGTTTAGCTTTGTGCGCATAGGACAGATGGATGGATGGGAAGAGTCTGATGAAACCATTCCCTGGTACCCAACTCATGTTCTTCTCCTGCAGAATGCTGGTTTCCTACACCAAACACTCGAAAACCCTCCAGCCCTGGGAGCTGTGAGTCACTGTGGTGGCTTCTTTTTCCATTTCCCCTGAGGATTTTTTATTTATTTTGTTTATTTTAATTTGATCAGAGTGCCTGGTTCTCTGTAGTTACTGGAGAGGGTCGGTATGGATGCTGCACTTGGAAATCTGTTTCTGACCCTGCTATGAATGAAATCTCAGGTGTGCATGTAATGAAAAAAGCAAATAGATGGATATTCAGCTTTCAGCACCACTGTATTTAGGACTTGATCCAAAGCTCATTGAAATCTGCAGGAGTCTTTCCACTGACTCCAAGGGGCATTGGATCAAGCCCTTAATCCACTGGTTTGCAGTGAGATATTTTAACCACTAATGCTTTCCCCCCCCCCCACGCTCTGGCTTGTTTTTGAAAAGTGATCCTGGATTATTCTACATGGGGTAAATATGGACCAGCATGGCACACCAATTGCATAACATGAAGTTTAACTGTGAGCCTCATGTTGGAAAGAATCCACATTGCATCTACATAGAATGAAAGAGCCAGTTAATCAATCAGTCCTTACATAAATAACGGAATAAGCCAATGCAGCAATGTACCAGTCTAGAACAATTATTTTTTTCTTTGGCATGCCGACCTAACTGGATTGAAAGTCTGGTTTATAGAGAAGGACTAGGAACGATTATCTCCCAAGAGGTCTTTGGAGTGGCAGGGAATAGAACCTAGCAGTAGAACCTGAGGCTTTTACTCAAGGCAAAACTCCCAGGGAATTTCAAGGAAAATGAGCAGGATTTGGGACTCACTGATTTTTTTTTGGAGGGGGAGGAGATCTGACTCTGGAGAGCAGAAGTTCCTCATCCATGAATGTCCTACCAGCAAAAGTCACATTGAAGCCAGCAATGATGCTTGTCTTTTCAGGTGGCCATTAGAGCTGAAGGAACAATCTCAGCTGCTCTTACATGTTTGATTAGATGGAAAATGGGCTATATGTGGCGAGGAGATTTCCTATTATCCATTAGGGCCAGCACTGCGGGAGAAATGGAAAGAATGGCAGAGAAAGTGAGAGGAATGGCAAGGGGGGGGGGAAAGAGAGAGAAATCCAGCAAACCCCAGAAAGTTGAGGGAGCAGTTAAAGAGCAAAGTTCTCCCGTATGGCAGATCTGTTGCTGCAGAATGATGTATTCCATTCTGCCCTCTCAACCCCTCTCTGACTGGAATGATCACAGTCCTGGCAGCATAGATCTAATCTGCAATGCTAGCTCGGCCCTGTGCCAAAGCATGTGGGACAGTCACAATGAGATGGGGATTGCTGCCCAGGAAGGAGCTGAGCTGAAAGCATTCTGCTGGCTCCGTTTAGTCCTGATCTCAGAGGTGAAGGGCCTCTGAGCTCCCCAAGCTCTCTGCTTTCCTTATAATGCTAAATCATGGCACTGAAATAGGCATTGGGGTGATGCTGTACATGAGGAGCAGTGTGGGCTTTACACGCAGGACTTGAAATCAGTCCCTGGCATGGAAAATGGAATGTCAAATAGCGAGCCACCACCGCTGCGGAGCAGACACAGTCGAGCCTGTTAGCCATCCATTTTGGCATCTCTTGACTGCACCTTGCTCCTCTTATGCCTACTGTGCAGCTCTGGTAATACTTAGCAGCCTTTTGCACTTGCGTTAGGATTAGTGCCGTAGTTATTTTTCCAGTACTCACTGTGTTAACCCTGCAAGGCAACGTCAAGAGACCAGCCGAACTGTTTAAAGGCCAAATCCAGCTCGACTTCTTCGCACAAGAGGTCTCACTGAAGCCATAATGGCTTGATTCTCTGGGCCCTGCACCATGTGTCATCCATTATACTTGGGCAAAGTGGGCTAGGTCCTCGGCTCTATCCCCAAATATCCCCCTTCTATCTATCTATCTACACAGCCTTCTGTCTATCAAGCCCTGTAAATGTAAACCGCAGCTGTGCTGATTTGCAGCAGCTGAGGATCTGGCCCAGGATGGGCAAAGTGGGGAGTAAATGATTTGGCATTTCATGCTCCCTTTGCCCAGGTGCACATGCTGCCGTAAGGTGCAAGGCAGCGGAGAATCTGCCTCTAGGTGTCTGTGTGAAATCAGTGCATTTGGCAGCTGATGTGTGCACGTTTGATTTTGATCTGCAAAATCAGAAATGTGATGCCGACAGAAAGGAACTTGATATTCATTGGGTAGAGAACCGCTGTCGGTGAGAGCCTGGTGTGCACTGATAATAGTCCTGAACCAGTATAGTTTGAGAAGCTGTATTTTGCTTTTTTTTTTTTAATTTGCCTGTTATACAGTTTATGCCTTTAATGTGAGAGTTGTGGGAAATCTTATTGACAAGCCCTGAGTTTCTCTCTCTGTTAGCAAGGCTTGGCAGTGGTAAAGAATCACAGAAAGAGCCTTTTTCCTCCAACACTGAACTCCATCAGAATAAGGGAAAAACCAGCATTATCCTTAAAGCTACTCTCTGTGTCTCCAGGCTTCAATGGAAAGCTTTTGCTGAGAACCCAAGGCCAATCTTATCTAGATTCCTGCAACAGATTTAAAGAAACAGTACAAATATTTTTTTCCCACTGAATGCATCCGATGAAGTGAGCTGTAGCTCACGAAAGCTTATGCTCAAATAAATTGGTTAGTCTCTAAGGTGCCACAAGTCCTCCTTTTCTTTTTGTGAATACAGACTAACACGGCTGCTACTCTGAAACCAGTACAAATATACAGGCCATGGGGCAAATTGTTTTGAAAAGAGCCAAAACGATGTGGTTGATGAAACCGACATTACTCTGGAAGGATGCGGGGGTCTGAAATGCACTGGTGCTCTCTGTAGTGAAATAACAGTCAATCCACAAGTAAAGCCCAGCAGAGAAGAGAATGGATGTTGCACATTTTTGCCCTAGTCCCACATCTATCCTGAAAGAGCATCATCAGAGTGGCAGCTAGGTAAGCATGAGAATGGCTGGCAGGTCATGGAGAGCTGCTGCAGAAGAAAGGAGACAGAGCAGCCTTTGAGGACTCTGTCAGTTTCGCCTTTGAAGCTAACTCCAGCCAAGTATCTGTAGCACTTCAAACAGGAGGCACTAAAGACTCCTGCTGGCCAGCTGACAGCTTGTTATTCAGCCTGCCCACTGTACGCTGGCCAAAGCAAGAGCAGACGCTAGCTGCTAATGAGATGCAGTTTATCTTAATGAGAGGGTCCGGTTTAACAGTAAAACCCCGCCCGAGACTGAGAATAGGTTTTGGTGAAATATACATTAAAAATACCCAGAATGTATCCGTCCTCGCGGGGATGAAAACTCTGCGGAGGGAGCCAGTGGGAGCTGAAGATCTGTCACGCATTCTCAGGGTTTCAGATGGAATTGGAACACACTTGTCTGCAGTTCTCTTGTCCTTCCCTTTTGTTTGTTCATTCACCTGCGGCACACTGCTTAGCTCCTTGACTGTGAGCTCTCTGGGGCAGGGACGTGTCTTTGTGTTAGTTGGTAGGGGGCCCTGATCCCTGCCTTTAGGGGTTACCCACAATAGAAATAATAATTAGTCAAGGAAAGCTACCTTTTAAACACTGATACAGATTCCCTCTGATTTCCCGGAAAGCGGCCCATATTTTGCCGAAAACCAAATACATACAAATAAACAAACAGATCCCTACTGGGGCCAAATTCTGTTCTCATTTACACGGTATGAACCTAGAGTCATTCAGGGTTTTTAGCTTGGTGGAGTTACTCATAAAACCAGAAAAAATTAAACCTGAAGGGCCAGATCCTCAGCTGGTGTAAACTGACAGAATTCCACTGACTTCAGCGGAGTTATGCTGATTTATTCAAAGTGAAGATCCAGCTCTAAATAAATCAAGACAAATGGGTCCTGTTATTATTTAGAGAGAGGGGCCAGTTGCATTGTGCTAGATGCTGTACAAACGGCTCTGGGGTAAATCCAGAGTAACGCCGAGATTTTTAGCTCAGTGGATTTATTCTGGATTCCACTGGTTTAACTGAGAGCAGAAGTAGCCGTGACTTTGGAAACTCTAATACCAGTTGTCTCAGCTGTGACATGCACCATTTGGAGGACGATTTCCTCTTGCAATTCACTGGGAAGGCAAAAAAGTGAAATAAAAGGAGCAGGAGACCACGGCACTGGGAGTTGCAGTAGAGATGTCTGTCTTCTAGGACCATGCTAGGAAGGTCAGGGGTCTAATTCCCCTTCATTGCATGTGGAACACCACTATAGGAACGCACCGGCACTTTGCATCCTTCAGGGCAAGAGTGATGCTTACACATGGTCAGTTATTCAATGGCTTGGAAAAAACTAACTCAGTGGATGAAGGTTGGACTATGTCACTCACAGCAGCTTAAGATGGAAAAAGGTCCATTTGATTATGTAGTCCATCCCTACTGTGTACTTTGGAATACGTTGTCTAGGCAAGTTTTACATGTCTTAAGAAATGGCATTTCCAATACCCTCCTTGGGAGAG